TGGCTATAATTGCATTTAACAGGACTTTAAAACATGAATATTGTGCAATAATGGATTTCAAGTTTATAATATAAGACAATTATGACTAAACTATGTCATTAATGATAACTACAAGTTGCAATTTACCTTTAGGAATATCTTGATCAATGCTAGTAAGGAAATCTATTGGCTGAGTTATGGTCTATTGTAACAATAATGATAAAAGTTAAGTAAAGATTTCATGCCTTGTTCACATCTTCTACTTCTGGCTCTTTAAAATGATAATAATACTTCAACTGTTTAGCTTCTGGCAGAGAAAGACCTAGTAATAATAATAATAACAACAACAACAACAATAATAATAATAATAATAATAGTAATAGTAAGTATAACAGCAAAACATTGAATTTTTAATCTCAAGCACCCTGAAAAGACTTGTTTGCCACAACTTCATTCAGTGGTGTCCTCATGTATGCTCCTCTTGGTACAACAGCCACCTCTTCATCAATACGTCTAATTACAGCTGCTAGACGCTCCTCCTCTTTCATTTCAACCTAACAATAATTATGATAATCAAGGTTTCCCACAAAGCATGCCAAGTAAACTTAAAAACAAAAGCCATGAAGTGACAAGCACTACAATAGTACAGTAAATGGCTTTAGGGCAATTTTAACAATTCATTAAAAAATTCAATTTCGATCAGAATCAGCTCAAACTTACTACACAACATAAGAAAATGTATATGTATCAGAAAAATTGAGAATTCCCTTCTAGTAATTCTTGCCGAAGTTTGGCCAAAGACTCTGTCAGGGAGTTTGGCTTAATTTTTGAGTATCTTTAAAAATTCGTAAACATCCTATTTTTATTGAAATTAGGCTCATGTCAAGATTTCCATACAGTACATGAACATGTATACATGTATGTATTTTTTTTTAAATGAAAAATTCTCTCCTAGCAATTTTTGATAAAATGTGACCATAATTGACAAAAGGTACCTTACGGCGGATAGGAAAATTGGTCTTTATAGCCTAAAAAATCCAACTTCCTAAGCTCCATTTATCATGAAATTACTTCAGAGGATGCAAAAAGTTACTATGTCACTTTTAGAAACAATAGTTGTCTAACAGAGCACTCACAGGTTGATATTTTTCATTATAATGATGAATTCAAAAATCCGCCATAAGGTACCTTTTGTCAATTATGGTCACAAATACCATGGGCAGTACGTGTATAGTATTTTGTCAAATTTTGAGCAACTTTAAATCCTCTGACAAGAGCCTTCATGAATACTGTCAAATCCTAGGGGAAATCCTGGTGATAATTATCACTCATGCCCAATGCTATTCATATTTCATTATTATGTAACAAAATATTATATCATTCCTTTATCTTGATGGGATCATTATATTCCAATCAGTACATGGTATTGCTGAAGTACACAGACCCATATCCTGCCCTTCTAGAGATACTGTCACACACAAACCATACAATAACCAAAAATATGCATGTACCACGAAGCACATCCATGTACTAAACTCATGCACACACACACACACACACCCTGTCCTCTTTGTTGACATAACATGGACATGTGTCAACTTACAATGGTTGACTTTTCAGGTGTTATCTCTCCCTTGCCGATCCTGTTGGTGACTTTATGCTCCAGTATGAATGATGGGTCTCCTGTGAAGCGTCCAGGAAGCAGTGAAGACTTGACACACATGGTTTCGTCAACATGAGGCAGTAATCTCCAGTCCACACAATCTTGACTGGCAGAGAGAGAGGGGGGAGGGAGGGAGAGACAAAGATAAGATTACATTCTAATTGTTTGTATAATCGATTCAAGTTCAACAATCTATCAATATAATGTAGCTATACATACCTATACAGTCCCTTCCTTCCTCTTATCTCGTCCTTCCCTATTCCTTGTATAATGTAATAGTCATTTTGAATCCCTTTTATGATGCCCCAGAACTTGACCCTGTGGAACTTGTAGCTCTGCTGAACTAAAGTGAGAGATGTGAGAAGAGAAGCCCGTTTCTCCACACTGAGAACAATCCCACTGGAGCTGGCATACTCCAGATTCAAGGAAAGAGACTCACTGTCCATTAGATTATGTTTGTCAAAGAGATTGTAACTATGGATACGACCACACCCACATTGGTAACCATGGATACTAGGCTACCACGCCCACCAGACCCTCCCACGTGCAGCTAGCGCCACCTTACTTTTATTCTTGTTCGAAGTGCTCCTTCTCTCTTGTTTAGACTTTCTCGCTCTCTGTTCGTCTGGTTTTTTATTCATCGTCCCACCATGCCAGAGTCTGCAGGTACAGCTAAGGCAGATATACCCGAGGACATAAAACACTTGAAAAACTTTCCACACTACGACGCGTCACTTCACGACAATCCTAAATTCAGACAAAACCTTTCATCCTGGGCAAACAAAACAGAAAAGGTAAGAGAAGAATTACTTTTAAAAACATGCATTTTATCTCTCTCTTTAGCTCTCTACTGTTCTCGATGCTCTAGCGAATGGTTTCTCTGATTTCTATTCCACGGGTCTACAGCAGTATAAAGCTGCATCTTCCATTGTTGGTAGTTTACAGAAAATGTCTCAGCTCCTTGAGAACTCGTCTCCTACCATCACAGATACACTGAATAAGGTACATTATATTGATACCACATGTATTATGTATACTTGTCATTTTATTGGTTATGCCGTGGCTTGGAAGAGCAGGAAGCAACTTGTAAAGTTATTATTAGTAAAATAATTTTGCCTAATAAATTTGTATCAAGACAGACAGCTCCAAAAAGCCCATTTTCAATCTGGCGTGTGTGCATTCATGACTCATTATTTTGTTCACATTCTTAGCAGTTATGATTTACTATACAGTGTTAGGGTGTAGTAGATGATATTACATGTCTATCAGCTGTTATAGAGATGCTGATGTTGTTTGAAAGGGTTTGTTGTCAAATAGGCCATTGCCCTTTAAGGCCCGGACTCATTTATCAATGGCCTACTATACATTATATGCACTAGTGTTGATTGCATTTAAATGATGCACACAAGTAATAATGATAAGTACATGTACACACAGAGTCACACTCGCAGACAACTGCACGCACTTATGTACATGTACACCTTGTACACTACCAACTGCTACTACACTCACTTCTGCCTATGTATGCACACACACACTCTCATGCATGCATGTACATGTACCGTACACACACTCTACTGCATGTACTTGTACATATTACATTATCTGATTCTTCCTTTATACTACATTGCAGTTTGTTGAGTCGATGAACAACATGTGGTATTACTATGAGACATTTCTGGAGCAAACTCAAACACTTACTGTTGATCCAATTAGGAAGATGGCCAAGCAGTTTAGCATACTTAAAGTTAGTGGATAACAGTCAGTGTATTATGTATACATGTATGATGTGAGGAAGAGGGGAGAGAGGGGAAGGGAGGGTGAGAGTGTGGTTATGTAAATGTGGTTAAGTTAGCAGATGTGTTTAGTTAAGTTTGGAGATACAGGTTGTATATTCTTTTTGTTGAACATAATTTTATTGTTGGCACATCATCATGAGTTGTGTGTCATTAAGCAAAGTTAATCTCATGTTATCATTAATTACTCATGCAAGCTTTGTTCCTCTTCCCTTAATTCAATACTTCCCTCATCATTTAGCCTTTTATGGTATCTCCCTCTCTCTTTCCCTTCAACCCTCCTCCTCTCATTTCATTACTATTACTATATCAATCATGTACTACATGTGTATATGTACAGTACATAGTCATTTTATTCCTTCATTCATTAATAGGGTATTTATGAAGAGCTCCAGCATTATAGGAAGGAGTTCATTATGGCTGCTGATCAAATGTGTGCATGCAGGCATGTATCAAAACTAAATGATGTAAGAAACAGTATCTTAGTGTTATTGTTTAGCTGCTAATATGATATAACCCTGTCTAGTCAACATGTAACTTGAACACGAAAACACCAGATGCCAGTAGATAGCATTGTATCACTGATCACTTTTTATAATTATTATCTATTATTTATCATTAATTATTATTATTGTTATAATGCCTCACTAAAATAAATTGGTAGGAATGTCTACAGTTGAATAACCTAAAATGACACATTACATGTGCACAAGCCTCTACATGCATCCATTTATTTTCATTATTATTAATTAGAGCCAGCAGTTCAATCAGTTAGCTGAGGCTTGTTATAATGCACAGAAGACCTATCAACTGGTTCTCTCAAAATATCTCACTTGTCTTAGGGAAGCACACACAAGTGACATGGTAAGGCTCTCTCTTCTCTTTCTCTCTCCCCCCCTCTCTCTCTCCCCCCCCTCTCTCTCTCTCCTCTTTACTATACAGTTATATCTCATTACAGTATCTCTTATTGATGTTTAAGTATACTGATTGTTTTTGTAAACAATATATAGAGGCTCTGCTTAGTAGATAATTATCCTGCAGTTGTGTATAGTTCATGTGCTATTGAGCTACTTTAAATTTTAATGAATCCTTTTGTCAATGTTGGCCATGTTATGATTATAATGTTAAAAATAATAGCAAGGTTGTTGGCAACCTTTCATGTGTTTTTGGCTTGCATTATGCTCTTGGTAGTAAATATATTTATAATCTTATTGAGTTTCCCTCTCTCACACCCTCTTTACTTTTTATTGTAATCCTTTTATGTATTTCTTTGTTCATCTTGTCCCTCTCTCTCCCTCCCCCTCTCTCCCACTCAGATGGATCTATTGAGGAAACTAATGGAGCATTTCTTGACTATTTATTCTTATCATAACTATTGTGCTGAGGTGTGTCCTATCTTTATAATCCATTCCACTATTTACTTGTGTTTTCCCTTGACAGCAAATGAAAGACATGGAGGTTTACTTAACTCATCTTCATTCACAGACAAAGGAATGGAAGCTGTTTTATTGCAGTGAGATGGAGTTATGGAATGAGCTACAGAGACAGATAAAGAGAGTGGTCATGTTTGAGCATCAGCACCACATGGACTTATTACCATCCATTGATACTAGCGGCACTAGGTGAGTATGTAATTTATTGATGATGGACACTGTTGTGGGGCTTGTCACTGTAAATGTGGGGGGTTAAATGTTTAGCTGCAAACATTGTAAGTACATGTACATTTATGATAAGTACTGCCAAGAGTATATAACATCATTATGTACTCTTGGTACTATGTGCATGATGTAATTTAATAATTGGCATATTGTACTAGTAATAGAATCCTTCATACATGTATGGATTGTATTGTAGGGAAATCCCAAAGCAACCCCACAGTCGTTACATTATTATGCTGTGGTTAATGAAATACCTCTAATTAAAACTACAAGATTCATTTATTTAATAATAATGTCACTTATAATAATAATAATAATAATAATAATAATAATAATAATAATGTTGCTGGTTTACAACCAAGTACTGTATTGTCATTGTCACTTACATATAGGTGAGGTTCTTTGCATGAATAGTTTTGAAAATTCACTTCATGTTTATGATAGAATAATGTGTTTGTTATTGTCCTTGTTAGACTTGGTATGCTCAAAGTGGCTTCTAAGAAGAAAGGATTGCACTCCAGCAGTACAGGGCTAGGATCATCACGTATGTCATTATAATAATAATAATAATAATAATAATAATAATAATAATAATAATAATAGCAATAATAATGATGATGATGATGATACTAATGAAGTTATTCCTTTGCAGTAAAGCTATGCTTATAATTATTTGCTGATTGAGAGATTTTTAATTTGACATATCCTCACAGCCATAAAAGTTAATGCATGTACATGTAGTACATGCATTAACATGCTTTAATGATAGTAATACTCACTAGTTTACTTGTGCATAAAATGAATCTATTAAAAAATTTCCTGACAATGTACATTTCTTGACTGTTTGTGGCTCTCCTTTTAATTTTAATGTACACTGTTCATTTAGTGATATTCACTGTATATTATTATCCCATTGTAGCCATGATACCATTCACTCGGACTTTCTCCGATCAGATCCCTCAGTCCAGTCTACCCTCTCCCTCCCTCACTTTGGATCATATGCCCAAGCACATCAGCTCTCCAGTTCAAGTGCACAAAACAATTAACGAAACAAGTCAAACGTCTCCCAACAAATCAAGCGCATCGAGGACCTTCAGCATACCCATCTTCCCAGAGACTGAGACGTCAGACAAGAGGCTCCCCTTTTTTGAGCGCTTGAAGACTCGCTCTAATTCGGATGCAAACCTCATCTCCCCCGGTCTAGAGGAGGAGTCTGAGGATGATGTTCTCGGGTCTTTAAGAAGGAGGAGTCAGTCCATTGACGATATATTGTCTGGAGATGAAAAGGAGGCGAGTCTTGAGACTGCGTCGAGGAAGATAGAGGCCGCTCTCGGGGAGAGGAAGGGGAAATCAAGTCACAGACCTTTACTCTCGCTGTGGACCAACATGAGGAAGGACAGCAAGGAAAGGAAGAAGCAGCGAAAGAGGACACCGAGTCAAGGTGATGATCCACCCGAGGAGGCTCGGAGCAGGTCTGGTAGCACTACACCTGTTGATTGTCAGAGCATGGACAACAGCCCCTACACTAACAGAAAGAAGAAGCAAAGTCTACAAAAGAAGCTAAAGAAGGCACGTAACTCTCTCTATCTGTTTCAGCAGAGCGAGAGGCAGGATGATAAGAGAGGAGAGGAGGAGGAGTTTGAAGGAAGAGGATCAGCAGAGGGTGGTCTATCAGTTGAAGGAAGTAGCATCAGCAGTGGAGACCAACCATTGGACTCAAATAGTGTCACGTAAGATATTAAACAAGAATGCATATAATAACTATAATTATATGATTATAATTATAATTAGTATTTATATTACTTTAGAAGGTTTTCTTATTTACTGTTATTGTTGGCTAGTTTGCGATTCCCTGTGATAAATGGAAAGGGAAATGGCTTCATACTAATTTGTTTCAAGAAATTGATTTTTTATTTAAAATTATTCTAATTCTAATTCTGAATGAAAATGTTACACTCATTTTAGAGTGTTAACTTCTACTCATGGGCTTATGGCTCATGTTGTCTAAAGCTTGTGGTCTTAGTACTGAGTGCCATTGAGTAATCATACCATATAATTATAATAACAATAAACATCTTATTATCTCTACACTACATGTACATGTACATGTACATGTAGTGTACATGCACGTGTAGTAGTGTACATTTACATGTACATGTAATAGTGTACGTGTACATGTTACTTGATACACATACCTGGTATCAAATTGCACTTACTGTGGTATGTGAGTGAGTAAAATAATAACACTCAAACAATTAATTGTTTATAATTGTACCAGTACACGGTAAGCCTATAGAGTAGGTGTGCATGTAAGAATTTAACCATAACATGCTATAATTGTAATGTACATGTACAATGACCACACCTTTCATTATTGATTATAATGATCTAATATTATTAGTCTATTGTCACTATATTTGACCATAAATGTACATGATTTGTTCACTGGTTGTTTAATGATAGTAATGTGTGCCCTCCGTCGCCTGCTACTGGCTCTGTTAATGCTGTGCCTGTTTCTCCTCCTCATCCAAGGGAAGGTGAAGTGAAAGAGCTTATACAGCCAACCCCATCATCTTGGATAAGATCAGGCTATCTTATGCTGAGAATGAAACTGCCTAACAATACCTATGCTTGGACATATATTGTGAGTGTAATTCATTATTTGCGCAAACTTATCCTTTATGAAACTTTGTTGTGTTTACTTTAGTGAGTATTTGTTATTAAATTCTGTTCCTATCCCATTCAATGTTATCTGGCTTCCCTCTGTCTCAACTACCACTCCTCTCCCTCTTTCTCTTTCTCTTTCCCCCTCTCTCTCTCTATCTTCTCTCTCCCTCCCTCTCTCTCTCCCTCTCTCCCTCCCCCCTCTCTGTCCCTATCTCTCTCTCCCTCTCTCTAGTATTGTGTAGTTCATAGAGAGTTAGGTCAGCTGATGGTTCAAGAGCAAAGTCTCCCTGAGCCGCGTCCACTTGAAGACCTGATGCTATGTACATGTAAAGCTGGCACTCCTGACTTCATTGACAGGAACTATTGCTTTAGAGTTATATCCCCATCCTCTGAGCATCTCTTTCAAGCTCTAGGAGAAGAAGACATGAAGTTGTGGATGTCTGCTGTACAGGTACAACTGATTGCGTTTTTTTAGTAACACTTACAGGATGTTTTTTTCATGTATTTTAGGAAGGTATTGAAGAAGTCATAAAGCATGGAGACACAGTGAGTTTGTTTTTATATTGAAAGTAAAGTTTGTTATCGTTTTGTTACTTTGCATTGTGATGAGCAAAATATCAAACCTTTCATAGCAATCAAAAATTGAAAAAACAATTTGTGATACACAAAACTAAAGGTCATAGTCAGCATAGTCATAGTTTAATTTATGTCACTAGCAGAGCACATGCATATCAATGCCTAGCAATAACAAATAGGCAAGTTGGGAGGATTCAGAATTTAAGTCGAATTATGTATTAATTAAAGCACTGTTGAGAGTAGGTTACGGAAATTATTGCACGAGGGGCGGTCGAGAGGAAAATGTAGCACGAGGCGAAGCCGAGTGCTACATTTTCGTCGAGACCGTCCCAAGTGCAATAATTTCTGTAATCTACGAATCAACAGTGCTTTGATTGGTTTGTAGTGGTGCGTGGGCGGATCAAATGAAATTTCAAAAGTCGCACAGGTGGCGCCCGCAAGACAATCAGATCTCATTTATCACTATTATTATTGTTACAAGTATAATGTATGTAGCTGAGGCTGTGATTTGCCTCTATCAAAGCTTGTGGTTAACAGAAAAGCCCATACATATTATACTGTGCAGTACTACATATTCCACACAGTGCTACATTTTCCTACCATGCGGTGGTTATTGGAAGTTGTAGCACTGGCGGCGCCTTTGATCCGCCCATGCACCATACTACAAATTTACATGTAGTATAATTTTGGTGGTTTTTTCCATTGATACTGTTACTTACACATGGACATGTACATGTATGTGACATCTGTATGGTTTGATAGGGTACAAGACCGGCAATAGGAAAACGGGAAGATGAAGGAGAATTAGTGCCAAATGCCATCAAAACAATTCTGAAAGTACCCGGCAATAAACAGTGTGCTGATTGCAGCAGTACTGGTAAGTATAATAATTATTATTAGCAAATCAAGCACTTACTACTACATGTACATCAGTGGGGTATCAGAAATGTTTGATAAAGTAGAATTCTCTCCTAGCGATCATTTTTAATGAAATACCCTGTCGATACTCCCAGGTTTTCCCATAAGCATAAAGCATGCTACATGTACATGTATATGTACATTGCAAGTGAGCTAAAAGTTAAGCATGGCTCAGTATGGAGCAACTTTAAAATAAATTTTTTTTAATTCAGTTTTGATAAGAATCAGCTCAAACTTTCTAGGCAACATGAGTACATTTATGTAAAAAGCTAAAAATGGAGAAATCTTTCCTTTTAAATTTTTATGAAATTTAGCTTGAGACCATGTACGTTTACAGAATCATTGGCAAGATTTTGGTGCAGTTTTAAGAATTTGAAAATATCTAGTTTTGATCAAAATTTGCTTGACAAATACCTTGTGTGTTAGTATTAGTACATGTATATGTACATGTAAATTTTTGAACAAATTAAAAAATTTACTGACACTGCCAAAATTTTGTGGAAAACCCTGCTATACCCTGTCTATAGTCCTTGGCAAAATTTTGATTGAAGCAACATTAAAATTGTTAATTATAAGATTAATTTTGAGCCAATTAAGCTCAAAAAGAGCATGCATGTACACATGTAAGGAATGAGGAATTGATTTTTAGAACCATTTTTGATATGACATAGCAATAAATATTTTTAGTCTTTTTAAATGTTGTATGTTTCTTCTTTCTTTACAGATGTGCAATGGGCCAGTATTAATCTTGGTATAGTACTCTGCATAGAATGTTCTGGTGTTCACAGAGGATTAGGAGTCCATGTATCTAAAGTACGCTCGTTAACTTTAGACAAATGGAACAAGTCAACAGTTGAAGTGAGTCAGTGTTTAATGTAATCTTAACATTGTCATTTTAAAAATAATTGAGCTCTACCCTTTCCAATTATTGAGTCATTTTTGCCCACTAATCTTTAGTTCACTGACCTAACATTTTACAAAAAAAATACTGTCTCTCTCTCTCTCTCTCTAATTTTGTAGTTCATGAAGTCTCAAGGAAATACCAAGTCGAATGTGTACTATGAAGCAAGGCTTGGTAAGGGCGTTCAGTATTCTGATATTCATAAACCTTCAGCTAATGCTGGAAAGTAAGATTTAAAATATCAGTTGATGCATCACATTTACTGTTCTTCTAGGACTGAAAGGATTCAATTCATACAACTGAAATACGTGACATTAGCATTCACACCTGAACTAACAGATCATTAGGTGCATCTGATGATTTTATTGTTTTTCATTTTATTATTATTATTATTAATATTATTAAATATTATTATTATTACAATTAATTATCATTGTTGTTGATTACTCTCTATCAATATCCACTTATAACAAAAATTTTATGTATTGATAAGAAAGTTTTTAATCTACATACATATTGTCTTGTTAACTGTAGTACTGTATCATGTAAGTATATTTATACTAGTTTTACAACAGCTTTAAAAACTTTAAAAAATTATATCAAATCTACTATTTATTAGTAAACTTGAAAACTATAGTATTTATTTTCAATATTTTCAACCACAACAAAGTGCACTGTTGCATAAATATTCATTATTTCATTAATTGGTCATGGACTATTTTTGGCATTTGGTTGTGTTTGTTGAAGCTACTAACCATGTATAACTGATTGTGATCACATGACTGCATGAGTAAGGGTTCCATTTATGTCTATATACTTGCACCTCTTTGCCATTCAAGTCAGTTGTACTATACGTGTCAAAATGATGATAATACTCCTTTTGATGTGTCTGATAGAGGTGAGTCCATTAGAATTAGTAGCACTTTTAATGATTGTGTATTTGACTTTTTGTAGCCACTTAAGGCATCAGTTTTCACTCTTAAACTGGAATTCCATAACTATGATAATCCTAATGGATGGAACAGTGTCAAGGTGTGCTGTGACAGAGGCCCATTGAGTGGGACTTGCTACAGTCCTTGTGAAACAAAGTTTAGTATTTGCTTAAGAAACGGCAATACTAGCCAAATTGATAAAAGTTGTCCTTCATCAAGTGATATCATGACTTCTGGAATAGTTCCTGGAGACTCTTTGACATTTGGAGCATCCATTGGCAGTTTACTTAATCCACTTACTTTCTACTTAGACAGTCTTCACTTTGTAAGTCTAACTGCAATTCAGTGTAATGATTATTATTTATGGTTGTTTATTTTAGAGTGGTGTTCAAGTTTATATCAAAATTGAAGATGATGATCTTGGAATCTATGATGACGACTTAAACCAAGACATTACTGATCTCATTGATGAATTGTTTGTTCAGATACCTTCGAATGGCAGGAATGCTGCATATAGAATGATGTATGGTATTCATGGTGTTGCTTCAATCAATGCCAGCTATCAATTGGCTTGTACTGATGACAACTATTATGGCAATGATTGCTCCGTGTACTGTAAACCTCAGAATGATGAGAGTGCTGGTCATTACTCCTGCAATCAAACAACTGGAGAAAAGATTTGTTTATCGGGTTATGTTGACCCAAGCAGTAATTGCACTTGTACTGTTAACAATCCAAACTGCTTCAATACTGCTACCACTACCATTTCAAAGCTTGCTAGCAGTATCAGCATTACTACCATTGTGCCTACTTATTCTATGCTTGCAAGCACCACTCAAATATCTCCAGTAGCTACTGTTGGTAAGTATGCACAATCTACCATAATAAGCAATAAATAATTATCACATAATTTTTAGATGAGCCGACTCATTCAAGTATGTTGTTAACTGCTAGTGCTACTACTGAGCAAATATCAATGACTCAAACTCCAACTGTAAAGAGTGATGGTAAGGAATGGAATGCTGTTACCAGCACTATGTATGGTACCTCTTTAATAGGACTGGGAAGTGTGATCATTGCAGCAGTCATAACTGCTTTTGTGCTAATTGGTGTTATAACCATTTTTGTATCTGTTATTATACTTTTGTTATGGAAGAGAAAACAGAAACCATTGCCAGGTAAGCTATAGAGTGTCATAATTAGTACTTTTATGTCATATGTAATCAACAGACATAGACAAAACTGGCACGATCTATGATTCTACTGCCAAAGAATCCAGTATTAGTGGTAACAACAACTTGGAAAACCCTATGTACATTGACCAACCACTTGATATCAGCTCATCCCACCAGCACACATATGAGTTTATGGATGGTCCTACCATTCCAGGCAATCCTGTGAGCATTGGTCGCATTAATGAGCCAGATCCAATGGATTATCAATTATTATATGAGACACCAGTGGATGGCGCTTTCAACAAAGAAACAGTTCTAATAAAAAGTTTGCCGGATCCACAAGCCCTTGATTATGAAGAGCCCAGAGACAGTACATTGAATGCTGGCACCGTTTCATGTCCTCTCTATGAAACACCAGTTAACCCAAACAATGAGTACAACGCACCTTGGAAAAAACTGTTTTAATTGCCTAGCATGCAGCAGAGTATGGCCTCTTAAGCTTTTTTATAAATTTTGTGTTGTGTTAGTTTTGTAATTTTTGCTTTTTAGTTACATTTCCTTTTTAAAATAATATCTATACAGTAAAATAAACAGATCTAATTAGGATCTATTATAGCAAATTTATCAGCCACGGGGAGGGGCTTGAACTGCAGCCACTCCAGCCAGGGTCTGCCACTGTCATGTATACTCTGGATGCTGTAGCTTTCTTTTTGCTGGGTTTACTTCTTCACCAAGTAATAGAAGACGGTCTGGTCCTTTTACTTAACTATAACCTATAGGTGAATGGAGACTATGAGCTCCTGTTACGTTTTCGCCGATATTCTAACCCCACTGATAGAGATAACAACGATAATTGCTGTGATAATATACTAATATGTGTCTCACATTGTGATACACTTTTCAGATCACTTTGCCTTAGGAATAGAGACTCGAACTCTGAACCTCAATGCATTCCCGGGACTGTGTATGATCCTGGCACTGTTGGTGACTACAATGGACCTGACAACAGTATTACATTTGGTGAGTCTGTTGGGAGCATTAGCAATCCAATAATTTATGAAAGACCTGGAAGTATCCCAGAGGTAAAGTAGACTAAAATATTGAGTAATTTTTAAATAGCAATTTTATTATTATAGTCAGGGTTTCAATTGTACATGGAGGTTTTTGATTATGATAGTCGTAATGATAATGACTATATTGATAGCATCGTACTAAACATACCAGCTCAACCTACCACAGAAAGGCAATCAACTGTTGTTGGCGAAGATGGAAAAATATCATTGGAATTAAGTTATAGTCTGTCGTGCAGTCAAAACTATTACGGATCGGACTGTTCCCAGCAGTGCATACCACGTAATGACAATACCAATGGACACTATACTTGTAACACCACAACCGGAGGAATAATATGCAGAGAAGGATGGCAAAATATTACTACAAATTGTACAGATGGTTAGATTTGTAATTAAATTATAAATATGTTATAATATTTGTACAGTTGCTTGTCATTTAGTATGCCAGTCACCTGGCGGAAATTGTAGTTCTGATGGTACTTGTGAATGTAACAGTAATTGGTTTGGAGATCAATGCCAGAATCCTAATTGTACTGAAGGATGTCATCCTGAAGGAGGATTCTGTAACATGCCGAATGAATGTCTTTGTCACAGCAACTGGAATGGAACATTGTGTGATGAGTTGTTGTGCAATGTTAATTGTAGCTCAAGAGGAGGAGAATGCTTAGAACCAGAGTCTTGTTCCTGTCTACCAGGTTATACTGGAAATGAATGTGAAATTGGTAGATTAATATCAGAATAATGTTAAGGAATATTTTATAATTAACATTTTAGATCTTCTTCCTTGTGAAAATCAGATGCCTTGTCTTAATGGAGGGAATTGCACTCAAAATGACACTACTGGAGAATATTCTTGTTCCTGTTCAGTTGGTTATACAGGATTTACTTGTGACACTGATATTGATGAGTGTGCTACCAAACCTTGTCAAAATAATGGAACTTGTATTGTGAGTGAGATATAGCTATAACATGTGTAGCCATATACTGTGCTTATTAGAATGAAGAGGCAGGGAGCTATAGCTGTATATGCCCTACTGGCTGGACGGGAGAGCTATGCATGAAAGCTATTGATTACTGTGAATCAAACCCATGCACTAATAATGGAACATGCACTAGTGCAAGAGCTGGTCACTACTGTGATTGTACCAGTCAGTATAAAGTAAGGGATACTTATTTATAATATAAAGTATTACCTAACGTACCCTTAGGGACTTAACTGTGAGCTGTTTGTCAATGCTTGTATACTTTATCCCTGCCTAAACAATGGTACCTGTGTGGATTTAGTGACAAATTATACCTGTCTTTGTCCTGAGGGATTCACTGGCAATAATTGTGAAAAGTACATGATACAATACATGTGTAAGTCATTATTATAGTAAACACATCCTTGTATAGGAGAGTTATTGAATCATCTGTATCATCTGCACCATCAACTGATACCACACAAGGTATGTTACATTATAATCATGCTGTGATTCACAAATTTTACCATTTGTAGTTACTGCTATAATAGGCTCTGTAATTGGTGCAATAATGCTGATTATTATTGTTATTATTTCGTTATTCATTGTAATATTATTGAAAAAAAGAAGACAGGGTTTGAAAAATAGTGAGTGCTTAATGATCAATACTGAGATTAATTTCTGTATAATCATTGATTAGGAAGCAAATCATCCGTCGTTAATTATAACTTAGTAAAAGGTAGCAATGATCAGTTGTCTTTAGACCACAATAATAACTATGATATTACTGATCATAAAATATCAAAACTGAATTCAGTTGAAGACTCAACAGATTATGCTAGACTTCGACTGCCAGAAGCTGAGTATCAAGAAGTTAATGAGATACAATCAGCTGCTGATGACAATGATAAAGAAGATGGAGAACCAATGTATAATAATCCTGCGTATTATGGTACTAGGAAAACAACTGATGAATGTGAGGCTGAGTATCAAGAGATTAAGGAAATACCATCAGCTGATTGCAGCCAGGATGAGCCGGTTTATAAAACTGTTATCAATCCTGTATATGGCGATGTTTTAGAAGAAGAGCAACCATCTAGTGACAAGTATGTTCCCAATCCTTTATATGGAGGAGTAAAAGAACAAGGACAATAAACAATTGTTATGTCTACTTAAGATTTTTTTTAGCGTGGTCTAGTCTAACTTTTTACAATCATTACTTGGCCAGTCAGCCTCTCTCCTGTGTCAAGTAGTTTAAATACATCAATATTTTTTTAAAATTATTGTTCATAATACTTTTTTCTGTTTGTACATGCATCTGTTTATATTGTTATAACTATCTACTATATACATTACGCCAGTATCTGCAAGCAGGTTGAAGCTTGTGTATGTTAACCACAAGATGGTGATAACAGTATTTGCTTTTTTAATGGCTCATGGTGGGAGCAAAAACATGGGAACAGCTCCTCAAAAAGACATAAAAATGAATTTATCTGCCTTTATCATTCATTCATGCATCTCTTATGTAGTATGTGTCATTTTGTGTCAATTATATCAGAGAGAAAAAAGACTACCAGTTTTAAAGTTACTTGCTTTTATTATAGCTAATATTATTTATTAATAATAATTTACTGATATAAGAAAAGAATACTTGATTTGGTCTATGCTTACCAGTGTTGTATTAGTTAATTATAACTAACTCTGTTTCAGTAGATAAAATTTCAATACTAGTTCGCTAAACTATAATTCTCAGAATAACTAGAATCATGGCTGAATTGACTCTTTTGTAACTATAAGTAAAAGAAAGTGATATCATAAATCATCATACCTAAAATGGATAGTTTGAAATGCTACTATACCAAGCTACAAACAACTTCTAAAAATGAAAATAAAATCAATTTCTGTCATTACTACGATTTTGACCCATTTATCTGGACTATAGGAACTTGGGAAGAACTATAAATAAAACAAAGTAACATGTACACATACATGTATGTGTAAAATGTGTGTCACCATGCAGACTCTCTTTCTCCCTTTTTCAATTCCATAGGTTGCTATTAAGATCATTGATAAGAACCAGCTCAATCCTGGGTAGCTTACAGAAGGTACTGTACATGTAAAACATTTTTATGAACACAAAGCATGGTGTAGGTTGATGCTGTCATGCTCTCACCTGGGCTTGCAACTTTTTGTATCAAAGCTGATTCACTGACTGCCCTGGATATGTCATGGAAGGTTCAGCACAGTATTAACTGCTTAACTGTTGAGGGACAGAGGAATTTATGCCTCAAAAATGCTGGTAAACAGGAATCTTCCTGTTTACCAGCAAATTTTTAAAATATAATGCAATGTTTCCTGTTTAACTTTTGCCAAATTATTTATTGGTGTAGCAACATAGATATTACATACATTCATTTACTCTAAAGGCCCTGTACACTTGCTAGCAACATTTTTGGTTACTTAGATCTTGTAAGCAACATGCTGCCTAGGCCTTAATTGTGTAGATGTTTGAGCTAATTTTAATCAATATTAGATTTTTTAAATGAATTTTTGTAGTTGCTCAAAAATCTGGCTGAAGACCTTGTACTGTAGTACAAGGTCTTTGGCCAAATTTTGTCAAAAATGATAAGAAGAAAATTTGCCATTTTTATGACAGTTTTTCATGCATATGCATGTACTTACGATGTGTAGAAAGTTTGAATAGATTCCGATCAAAGTTGAATTTTTTTATAA